CGATACCGCTATACGATTCAGCCCCAAGAAGTGATTTATAATGTCAAACCTATATAGGTAACTCCACATTATTCTCTCTAAAACCACTGGTGGATGAAATTAAGAGTAAGTGCATTTAATAAAAAACAAGATGGTCAGGTTATTGATTACAACAGATGGGGGTAAAATCAAATAGATGTTTTCAAAGCACAGAGCGAAGAAAATACAAGTAATTTCTTTTTTCCTGTTTAATACCGCTCACCAAATATACACACAAGAAAATTCAGTCATCAATAACATTTTTATTTCAGGTACAGCTGCAACTACACAGAACAATGAATTTTTTTTAGACTAGTTTCATTTCAGGATGCTTTCTGTTACATAAGCAAGTCCTCCATAAGCAATTTTTAACAAAATAATGAACTCAGAAGTCTGTAGTAACTTTTAAAGATGTACTTATTTTCAAATCAGATTACAACCTAAGGTTACAAAATAGTCTAGATTGCATCCATTTTCCCCCTGTAGTAGAAAAGAATATGTATGATAAACTCTTATATTATTCTAGAAACACCACCCAGGAACTCGGCATCACTAGGGTTGCTTTCAACTGTAGTTTTCAAATTACCCCTAACAGAAAAGGTAGCAATCTTAAGGGCTTTTCATTTTTTTCCCCCCTGACTACCACATAGTTCAGTCATGTTTTAGATTGGGGAGGGGTGGGGGGGTGGAGCTGGGTAACCTTTCCAACAGCAGCACATAGTATATTTCCACCTACTCTGACCTTCTGCAGATTTCTCAACGGTTCACAAATGGTTTCATCTTTTCTTCTCACTGGTAAGATTTTTGGTTAAATTTATATTTTTTGCACTTTAATTAAAATACTTTTTAAAAATCTAAGGCACCTAGGATTTCATTTTAAAACTAAAAGTAGTACCTAATTATGACTCATTTAGATGCAAATGTACTGACTGCTTTACTCGAGTGAATTTTTGTTATTTCCTGAAAACGACACGTAAACAAGTGTCATTCAAAAAAAAATGGGGGTGGGGAGCACTGCTATTTAACTCCATGAGCAAAGCACTTAATTCTTGTAGATGGTAGTCAGGGATCCTAGGCTATTACAAATGTGTTTTAGCCTCTGGGCTAAATAAACTCGAAGAAATACAAACCAAACACGCTCTCAACAGTTAACTTGGCATGAATCAAGGCAAAGCATGAACAAGCCCCGTGCATCCGTATCCGTGGAATAAGCCCGCTATCCCAAGCGAACGGCCACAGGCAAAGGGCTGGCGCCGCTTACTCATCCTCCTCGATGACGGGAGTGACCGCGAAGCTGCTGGGCTCCGACGCAGACTCACATTCGAGCACTCCCTTTGTGCTCTCGTTACTAATGGGAGAGCTGCTGGAGAGGGAAACCAAGCCAGAATCTTGACTGCTGGGCGGTGAGAATACTGGGAAGTGGAGAGACAGGGGGAGAAAAGTATGTTAAGAGTAACTAGTTCTTCTACATTCAGTGTCTGACTAGGTTCCCAAAAAGAGGCACTCTGCATTTCCATCCTGAGGTGACAGTGTTTTTATCAGTCTTTGAAATTCCCAGCACTTCCTTAGAATGGAAAAATGGTGTTTCTGCACAGTAAATCTGTTTACTGAAAGGGAAGTTAGGAGGCAGAGTCCAGTTATATGTTCATTAAAAATAGTGGGCCCTCCTCTCTTTGGGGGACCAATTTCCACCCCTCACTGAATCTTCCCTCCCCTTACATAAAAGATGCGACCAGAACTTGTGTTGTCAAATGATCCATCTGACAAATTACCCCGAACAGGCCTCCACCGATGTATTTGCAGGACTTGACAGGTAACCCTAGTTTTTCAATATAGAACAAGTGACAGGAACAACTTATCAACTTTTCTGTTAATTCTCTTGTATATCTTGGGGACAAACACTTGGGAGAGTCAGCATACAGACCTTTTGAAAACTAAAAAAGCCATAAATGGGAGGAAAACTTTTGAAAAACATAAAAAAGTAAGAGACACAATTACGCCATGCTAAAGTAGAGGTCAGGTGAAGATTTGGAGAGCAAACCTATGAACATAAAACTCTATTAGGAAACAGACATTAAATATGAAGGATGTAAAAGTAATAAAGTGTTGAACAATTTTTGCAACCTTACAAGCCACAGTAGATACAAAATTTAAGCAAAAGGGTCTCTGACCTTCTTAACCTTAGTGGAGTTTAGATCCACCCCCAGAACTCCCTTTCTGCCTAGCGTGAATGTAATTAAGGGGAAGCTGCAGTGGTAATTTCTCTCCTCATTAACTTCCTGATTGGTTTCAACCTCAGGATTCTGCCGGGCAGTAGTTTGTCACCAATTCCAAATGGCCAATCGTTAATACTAATGTTTGTGTAACTAACTGCCAGCATCTGCCACGGCTTCTTGTACAACAATAATGGTGAAAGGGTACATTAGTGCTCCTGTGTTAATTCAGCTTGTGTTCATCAATAGGGAAATCTATGATGTAATTAGCAAAATGCATTGGGAGCTGAGAGCTGAAGTCATTTGTAGGGAACTAAATCATGGCGGAAGCTGTACTAGGTCCTGATGTGTTTGCCATCAATACTTATTATGTTTGGAATTTAATAAGGTATATTACCATGCTGAAAAGAGACTTTTACAAGAGAACACTATTTACACTTTGTTATGGATTTGGAAAAGGCTTCTGCAGCTTGTGCAACCACACAAATAAATGAAAAGAACTGGGGTTTAAGAAACAGACCTTGAACCACTCCACTGGACCAGAATATTTCAGAAAGCCTCTTTCTTTTCATGTAACATATGGACAGACAGACAGATGGATATCTTTGTATGGTTACCTCAATAAGGAAAGGCATGATCTGAAAACTTAGAAGTGAATAAATTTGAAAAACAATTTAGGCAACTTCTGACAAGCAATTACTTTTGATATTGATAGGTTTTGTTTAGGGTTTTTTTTTTTTTTGTAACTTAAATGAAAATCAAGGATACTAGTCTCTAAGTTTTTTTGTTCTTTTATATAAGGAAACACATTTAACAGTACTTTATATGCATTTTTATTTTTTTAAGATGTATTTTTACTTATTTATGAATACAAGTACTGGGGTGTACACTGCTGTGGGGAGCAGCAGGCAAGGCAGAAGATGTCTCCTGTGCCGTGCGTGTTAGCTCCCTGGCTAGGGCTCGAACTCATGCCCCAGTGGCTGGTGATAGTGGGGAGACTTAAACCCCTGTGCCACCAGGGAGGCCCCATATGTATTTTTAAATCGCTGCAAATCCAAGGTGATTTGTGTTACTTGCACAAAGATGTTATATATACACAAAAATGTTTTCTGCCTTATTACTTACATACAGATCTGGAGAGCCCAAGAACCAACCAGCATCTACCCCATTTCCACCTCAAAACAGTGACAGCTCTTCTGACCTTCTGGGTCCTACAGACTGTCTTCAGTTAGCACCTGACCTAGGAGATGCCACCCACCCCAGTCACACTCTCCCAATCCCCTATTTAGCAGACTTGGAACTAAAGGAAAGAGGGGTGGGATGGGAATTCTGCAAAAGAAAGGAATTTGGGAGTACTCCTTTTCCCTTTTGCTCTCACTCGCCTGGTGGATATTTTCTTGGAAAGTATCCCTGTGTCCTGGCGCAACAGAGACACGCAGAGTATGTTACCTGCCCAGAAGAGGGAGGATCCAACACACTTAATGCATGACTGCACTCCAGAGAAGATGCAAGTCAATAAACCCAAGCTGTTTTTGAAAAATACATCTATTTTTAAAAGCATTTCTCTCAAAATTGAAGCCATGGTATTTTTACTTTTGTTCACGGCTTAGCACTGTCTTTGAATAATGGGCTGCTGACATTAGGGGTTGTATCTGCTGAACTCATTTTGTGTAGCACCTCATAAAAGTAGTTTCAAGTGCATCCAAGTGCACTAAAGATTTAGTGTTTATCTTAGTAACTAATGCCCCAAATCTATTTTACTACCATCTTTAAAGATACCCTCTCCATTTTAATGTAGCTTCATTAAACATTGTTGAGGGGGAAGGGTAATAATTGATCATTGTAGATTACTTAATACCAATTAAAAATTCCAAAGTCAAAATTACCCTTTTTGCTTTTTAAGTTGATTCTAATGAACTCGCACAAGGCTAATTTCAAAGGTTCCTCTTAATTATTTTGTAAAAATGCTAATACCTAGTGTCAGTGGGACTGTAAGGAAAGACATGCAGTTGGTAGCAGTAGAAATTGGTTCAATCTTTCTGGACAGCAATCTAGTGACATGTAATAAGAACCGTAAAACTGTTCATACCCTCTGACCTGGTAATTCCACTCTGGGGAATAAGCCCGAAGAAAGAAAGAATAATTGGCCCAGAGATGCTCAACACATCACTATTTGCATCAGTGAAGATATTAGTGCTTTGCTCTGGTGCTGGGGGTTTGGGAACGGTGTGGGGCAGCTGCTTTGGGGTTGGGGGACAGGACTCATTCACAGGGAATAAACAGTGCAGGATTATGCTACCCTATAATCACTCATAGGCTCCCAGCATTTACAGAAATGGAAGAAATGACTTCTGGAGACTGAAAAGTAAAAAAAGAAAAGAAGGGAAAGCTCACCTATCTGATCTTTTTTCGTGTTCCCATGAAGGTGGGCAAACCTCTGAGGCTGACCCTTGTTTGAACCAGCAAACCCCAGTATCTGTTTTCTCTTAAGTAGCCTATTTGTCTACAGGAGCCAAAGCCTTTTTCACTTACTACTATTTAAAAACAAACAAAAACCTTACACACAATCAATCTTACCAATGCTGGGGGGAAGGAACTTCAGATGGTTTCAGTGATGCCACGGAACCAGCCATATTCTTTTTATAAAATATTATATACATAATGGCAAAAAAAAAATAAGAAAAGAAAGCCCTATCCAACTCTCAAAAACAAAACAAAAACCACTCTAACTGCTAAATCTTTTGACATTGCAAAGACCCCTGACTTTTAACTTGAATGATCTGTTGGAAGTCAATGGACTGGAACGAATAATTCTCTTCCAGTGATGTGAGAAAACAGGATATTCATGCTTGAGAAAAAAAAATTCTTGCTCTGTGTTAAATACTATTAAACTCCCACACTAAAATAAAATAAAATAAAATAAAATAAAATAAAATAAAATTGCAAGTGACATTCTTCGATTGTTAGCAACTCTTCACCTAGAAGCTGGCAGTCTAGGAGGAAAACAAAATTGCTGGCCTCTGGTTTCCTAGAGTTTGCAGGCACAAGAGTCTGATGAAAAGCTGGTGAAAATTTCTTAAACAACAAATTCTTCCGCTTCGTGATAACCATAGTGTTTGGAAATAAAATCATGTCCAATCAATACCACTTAGCAGATATTTAATGTTTCACAATAGAACTCTTTTCCACAGTGGAACTGCTGCCCTTCTCACTAACATTTAAAATAATTAGGATTATCTTAGCTGTCCAAAGCTTGGCAGGTTCAGTTTGTACTTTCAAACAGCATTAATTCTTGGCACTCAGAACAAGGGATAAAAGGTAAAGATATGAATGGAGATCTTTATTCAACCTGATCTATCATGGATTAGCTCATTCTTTTCCAGTTCATGCCTGCACTCTAGTTAAGAGGAAGGCTAAGCTGTAACTGATGTAATTAGAAACCACAAGCTGAGAAAAAAATAGCCCTTTATTAATCTCCCCATTTACTATAAATTTACTAAAAAAATAAGAATCTTTGAAACAATTAAGTGTGTTTTTTCCACCTAAGTGTAGTTCAAGCGTGGTGACAAGAAAGAAGGGTTCTTGAGGATTATGTTTTCCTTGAAAACATATCTTAATTGTCAGTTTTAAAACCTGACACCAATTTTGAGAGGGGGCTGCCCTGCATTTTGTATACTGCAAAAGGAAATGGCCGAGTCATGGTAAATAGAGCTCCTGTACCTGGAACCAGGCACAGCAGCAGAGTTTCCTCCTCCGAACAGACATCACCACCTCTGCAAGCACGGGGACCCGCCATTTTAAAGCCTAAGTGAACATCTCAGAAGTGCACAGTGATGCAAATCAACAGTCCATCCCTTTCCCTTTAAACTTCTTGTAGAACACATATTCACAAAATTACTCTAGGCCAAGTTCTGCAGCACGGTGGAGAGAGTGCTGGTCTGGGAGTCTGAGGATGTGGGTGCACCTGGGCTCGCCCTGCTGTGGCTGCAGACTGGCTTCTCTGCTGCGTGAGGAATCTAAGATACGGTGCACACAGCTCCCATCCCCACACACACAAGTTGACAAACACACAAAGGAAAGACCCATATCTGTGTGTCACTGTGCAGTACAGGAAAAGGGAAAGGGACACCTTCCAGCTTCCCTGGGACCCAGGCAGACTCTCCTCAGGGGTAAGCTTTCCTGCTCTCCCTTCACTCCAA